GGGGGATACGTGGCGTACTTCCTGATCTTTATGCATCCCAACTGAAAGCCGCAAGAGAAGGCTTCCAGAAGCTACAATGCAAGCAGAGTCCGAACAGTTTCTGCAGGAGCAAATTTGTCTGTTGTGAGGTCAAAAGCAGTATCAATCAAATCACTACTTGGTTCTTATTCGGGGGTAATTACAGGAGATCGAAAACTGTTTGTTCTTGCTCTCTCAACTGCACGCTGCAGGTGCTTTGAAGCATCCCTGGATCGTGGGGAGCGGGGGATCGCGAGGCAGTAGTGTAGGGCGCCTGGACGCTTTGCTTCCCAGGGCTTCTTTGCACGAATTAAGGGTTTCATGACAGCAGGGTCATCGGCGTGCGCACCTGTAGCACATGCATTGCCAGAATGGATCCAAAATGCCCACAATACCAGAAGCTCCCCTCAACATTCCTTTTTAATCCGTACAGTCCATCATATCTCCCTTGTAGCATCCCTACTATCACTGAGACCGTCCTCGACGATGGTATCAAGCTGAGCCTCCGAAAGTTCGCGAGGGCGTCAACTTTCCGCCGCGCGGTTCCGGGCTTGGCAGTGACACAAAGAGAGGTGCATGACAGGGATTGTTATAGCTTGACGCGTGGGGTTGGAGTCCCGTGCTAAGCGTGCAGAGTGATGAACTCATACAGAGAGGTCCCGCATTTTGAGAGACGTATAAGATGAAGAAGACCCGGACATGTTTCGAGACAAAGGTGTTGTCAATGATGGCGTGGTCCTTGTCCGCAGAGGCACCAGGGTGAGCCAGAATGTGCGCGCTCAGTTTCACTTGATATCCAAGCAAGGTAAGCTGCATTGCCAGGATAGGGCGCAGCTGCGAAACGAGTTCTTGTCTTTCGATACGGAGAACAAGGGCACCATCACCCATCTCCAGGCTCTGCCCTTCTCCTACACTTGGACATCATGTCAATGTAGGCATATGAGGGGCATAGGTCAGGCCATGGCTCTGCAGGTAGCAGCCCTGACGGTCTCAGGGAGTTTTCTTACTGCTGTCAGATGAAAGAGATCCTTGAGAAGAACTATCACATCGACAGCGTGGAGGCTGAGGCGGAGCTCACGTAAATAGTTCCCTGATCTGACAGCGGTCATGCATGTGATCACGTTCCCTTGTGAGTGCTGTTTAAGAGTGCGCGAATAGCTCCCTGGATGACCTGCCCGCAGCCAGGCCGTCTTCAGCATGATGGATACCGACCACGACGATGTCATTGCTTACAGCGAGTTCCTTGCTGCCGCCCTCCAGGTTGCAAAGTGCAAGCATGGGGTGTGGGCAGTAAATACTGGCGCTACAAGCGAGGATTACGTAGGGTTTATTACAGACATCCACCCCCCGATCCTTTTTAGTAAGCACAATAATAAGCTGAAATTAAATGATGGAAATTCCCCCGCACCATTCTTGTCAGGGACGGTTGAAGGTGCACGAGGACGGCGGCAGTTCGTGTGCTGGTGCGCAGCAGCGAGAAGGCCATTCCCCGTTGGAAGGACATCCTACGGCGAACCTTCCGCAAGTTCGACATTGACAACTGCGGTCGAATTACGGCCTGGCTCCCGCAACAGCAGCGGTTTCTGACTGCTGAGGCTCCAGGCAGCGGGTCAGGTGACTGAAAGCTGTGCTTTTCCATCGGTCTCCTCACATCCTTTACCATCCCAGGTTTGATGATTGCGAATACATTCATCGTGTAAGCTTCCATCTTTTTTCCTGCGATGTGGGATCGAGTATACGTATGCTTAAGGAACGGACAGCAACCAGATGTCTTTTAGACCAGACTTTTCTGCAGGCCCACCCAACGGCAGGCAACGATTTTTGTTGAGGGAGCACGGTCCCTTTCACCCGAGGCTGAGGACCTGCGAACCATCCTGGGGGAACAGTTCGAAGGTACCGACGCTGAAGACTTGATCCGCGAGGCGATGGGAGGGCTTTGGGTGCAGATGTTTGCAGAGTCTGATTGTGTGCTAAGGGGTTTGCTCCCCGGCCGCTTAGTCTAGCCCCCTTTCGGGCGGAATATACACAAGTAATCGTAAGTATACCATGGCATCTTGTCCTAACTGTGGCTTGAGAAATGCCTTTTTTGTGTGGTGTCTATCCAAATATGAGGAACAATGACCCCATAAGACCTGATTTTGGGACAAAAACTCATGCACTTTGCCATCTGTTGCTGAGCTTTGGATCTCAAGAGCACCTCACAGGCTGACACGAACGGCGACGGGATGATCGAGTACGATGAGTTCCTCCAGTATTTCCACAACCACGAGCCTCAAGTCGAGGTGGGAGAAGCCTAAACGTCAGCGAGCAAGACAGTGAGATTGCATTTACCTTGTTCTAGGCACCATTACTTGTTCTGGATGACTGTTATTGGCAGAGGATGCGGTTGGAAATGTAGTATCTGTTTCCACCATCAACTGTTTCAAGGGAGACCATCATTCCCGCATGGCCAGGGTGTGGAGACCCAACCAGAGGCGCCAATTGCTGCGGTCCTTGAAGTTATTAGCCGGGAGGGAAAGGTTCACAGGATGAGGGTTAGAACTAGTGGCTATTCTTGGTTCTTGATCGGTCGCCATTATCAACTATCCTGTATCTAGTCAGTCTCGATGAGGGACCGGCCTCCACAGAATCCCTGATCTTGATTCACATGGCAATCTAGTCTAGAAAAAAAGGTTTTGCTAAGCTGTGACGCTTCTGGTCCCAACGCAACTGAATTCCAAGTGGACTGGATTTGAGAAGTCAGCCGCATTCTATTCCAGACCCGCGGCCGCTTGGACGAGGGATTGTGAATCAAGTGCAGGACAAGGTATGGTCCGTGCCTGTGCGGAGAAAGCGAGCAGTAGGTGTGCTTTCCCGAATGCTCCTTTCCCGAATGCTCCTTAGGAGTGTTCGCATTTAGGTGACCAAAAATTGTTGCGGAGTGTTGGCGAAGGGCCTGCAGAGCTCTCGCAAGCGTCCACCAGTGTCGCGACCCAGCCGGACCTCCGCAGAGTCGCCATCCTCGCAAGTGTCGTTGTTTTTGGACCCTCTCGTCAAAAGCGTCAACTGTTGCAGATCCTCCCAACTATCTCGCTTTTGCACCTTTGTGTCTGGAGTCGACAACGGAATGGAGAATGGAGTTATTGCTTTTGCTATAATATTCTAGATACTCCTTTGGTCACCTTGAGCTTCTGTAGCTCCGAAACCCTAACTTCCTGAGAGTCTCATTTCAAATGTGTAAGCCAACGGTGGACAGGCTGAAACCGGTCCCTGGACACGGCTGACTCGCTCCAAATGCCGTCGGGTGACTCAGAACATTCATGCTGTCGTCAACTTACTGGGTGTTAGTAGGGATTTGGGAATAGCTATATTCCATAGGGGTTATATAGGGGTTATACTCCCTTGTTCCCTATTAAGAATTTTTCAGCCAAAGCCTGCCGCACACAAGACGACCACGTCTTAGCAGTCTTGGAACATTTTGAGGGCTTTTGTTAGGGCGTTGTGTGTCGGTCGGGAATGTGGATAGTGAAAATCTGCAGGCACCTCCATCAACTCCTCAACCCAGTGGAACACCCACAGCTCTCGCTTTGAGGTCAGCATACGGAGAAGTTGGCCAGAGTTATCGATCGGCTTCTGTCGCAGGCAGGGCATGCAAGTAGCGGCAGCTTTCAGTGAGAGCCTGCAGCAGAGTCTGACTTGGAGACGTAAAGATGGAATCAAGGGGCTCATAGGGATTAATCAATTACATAGGTTGCAGGGGTGCGCTCCCAGAATGTATGTCCACTTTTTGCTGTCAAGCCAGCTAATCGCAGACGTTTCAGTGCATACAGTGTCATGGCTGGGTCTATGTTCAGTTATACGAATCATATATTTTTAGTATATTGTAGTATGTCATGGTATGTTGCATTATACCATAGTATATCATAGTATATCCCAGTATTTTATGGTATATTGAAGTTGGAAGAGTGTGGAGGCAGTAGTTTTCCAGCCCACGAACGCGCCAATACAATGAAGGAGTCATCAGTGATGGATGCGCTGAGTCCGGGGACCAGCCAGAGCCCCAAAAGGAACAACTCATGTCCGTGTGCGATTTACACTGTACATGCCAGTTGCCGATGTCCCGACATTCCTATAGTCATCTATACCCCTGACATGTCCCGACTGCTCTCGCAAGTCTTTCAATGGTCCAAGCTCAGGCTATTTGCCAACAGGACAAGCTGGCTAAGTGACAGCACGTGCATGGCCCTGTGATTAGGTCCAATGAAGCGTCGCAGCGACAAGGCGCCGAGGTCTATAGAAATCATGGGTGCCCCTACTACCCTCCCGTTTACTATTTCGAGGTTGCCCTTTTGTTAGCCTTAATAGCCTAATAGCCTTGGAGCATTGGGGGGGTTAGAATGGTGGGTAGGGGGTTGTAGGAGGACCCATGAAGAAAGGTTCCCTTGTGGTCTTCAGAGGCTGCAGGATCCATTGAATGTAGGATCCATTTCAGTCGCAACGGGCGGACATTGTGGAGCATGAATCTAAAGTAGCAAGCTTTTCTCAGTGGAAGTTGCTTGCTCGCATGATTTCAGCTCAACTTATTGTACAAGCTGGTGCCAGATAACATGTCCAGGATCAGGATCAGTATTGTAATTTCACGAGGTGAACTCTACTGTATTGTTTATGTATGCATACATATCTACAAAATCAAGTTCCCGCAAGTCCCCAGAAAGTCACAAAGAAATTGCTTTCTTGTGGCGCATTCGTCGAAGTCTGTGTGCTCAGCAAGGCGAAGACGCTGCCGGCCCTCAAGTCGCGCCGCAGCCCAAGTCCACAGGATCTTGCTGGATGGCTCATCATCGGTTTTGGCTGAAGTTTGAGGGTTGGGGGTTGACTATTCTTCGGGAAGCTTTCTCTGAAGTTCAGGGAGCATGAGTATACATGTTGCCTTTGAGAAACTCTTCTTGAGTTTGGCCATGTTTGACTTGAGCTGTAGCATGCGTTGCCGCTGATTACTCAAGGGATGGGCTAGCGCTAGTGAGTCAAAAGTGTGGAGCGTACATGTCCAGTGGTCCTACGGCATAGGTCCAGGCTCCGCTTGTTTGGTTGCGTTCGCATTGGTAGCGACTCTGGTTGTGCCTCGACAACTGGACTAGCGATGTTCTTCGATGAGGAGTTGTTTGGCGACCATGTTTCGGTCAAGTCCTCCAGCTCGGCTACATCGGAAGATGCAGGCGCTGGCGCTGAAGCTGCAAGTGTCAGAGACGACCCTGTGGGCGGCTCCGCTAGCGCTTCAAATGGCTCTTCGAGCGCTGGAAGGCGCAAGAGGGGCAGCAGAGGAGGCCGTGCTGTGACAGCGGCACGGGACAAAGCTACTTCGGAGAAGAGGTGGCGCTCTGGCGCCGTGCCGGCCGCTCCGACCTTCAGCGGGGACGTGGAGACCGATCCCTTCTGTTTAAGACACTATAGGAGACGTCTGCATCGCTGGGTGGCTATCACGAAAGAGTACTTGCCGCCAAGCGAACAAGCGCTGAGAGCACTGGAGCAGCTGAGGGGCGATGCTGAGGTCGAGCTTGAGGAGATCGACGACTCCCGCTATAACTGCGCAGAGGGCATCAAGCTCCTTTTGGAGGACCTCGAAGTTAGCTTCGGGGAAAAGGAGTTGTTTCGGCAAGGCGGAGTGATCCGAGAGTTTGAAGGGGTCACGCGTCTTCAGGGCGAGTCGGTGACAGCCTTTGTCAGGCGCTTTCGACTGCTTGAGAGGAAACTCCTTGAGAATAAGATTCCCTCGTACCCCGAACAAGCCCGCGTGATCAAGCTCCTTGACGGGCTCAGGTTGGGTGAAAAGTCCACTTCAAGTTTGTTGCTGGCTGCAGGAAACCGATACGAGATGGACCGGATCCAAGATGCCATAAAGATCCAGTGTCCGGCGGGCATGTCGGTCACAGGCCTTCCTCGTGGACGACCCGATTTCCGGAAGAGGGCGGCCTCGACTCCATCGACAGCCACGTCCTCTTCTCGCTCGAGCACTTCTTCGCGTCCTACCCGGTCCTCCCGTCCTAGTCGGCGCTGGTCTCAGTCGAACGCCGACTGGTACAACGAGAATGACGGCGAGGACAATGGCGAGGAAGACTTGGACGACATCCCGGAGGGCAACGAGACCTTCGAGGGCAACGAGGACGAGCACAATGACGACGACCAGTACGAGGAGGATTACGACTACGTCGACATCAAGGATGGCGAGAACAGGCCGAGCAGGTCGGTGAGTGGGATCCTCAGGTCTCGGACACGCTTCTTGCGGCTGCCCAGGCTCTGACTGTCACTTCGAAGCAACTGGCAGGGCTGGCGCAGGCGCGCGGCTTCTACAGCCCGGACAAGGGCAAAGGCAAGAAAGGAAAATCCAGAGGCAAAGGTGGAACTCGCAAAGGGTATGGCGGCAAAGGCCACCAGAAGGGAGCTTCAAAAGGTTTCTCCAAGGGCAAGAACGGCAAGGGCAAAGGCGCCGTGGATGCCAATGCAGCTTTGAAGCAAAGCCGACTACGAGGTAGCCTTTGCCTTGGTTGCGGTTCCCCTGACCACTGGCTGAAGGATTGTCCATCGTACACGGTGCAGAATGCCCAGCTGGCTAGTGCATCCCTTGGAAAATTTGCCCTTGATGCCGAAGGCATGGTGAATAGTGCCTGGACTGTGCAGGCCCTGGAGCCCGAGCGCGTCAACCAGGAAAAGGAGTGCGACTGCTATGCGATGCCTGCCCTCAATGAGTTCTTGGATGAGTCTTATGGACCTAAACTCCTTCAGCAGCCTTCAGTCCTGCTTCAGTACGCTTCGGGAGATAGCTCGGCCTTCATCATTGCTGATACAGGTTGCCAGAGACAGGTAGCCGGCACGGATTGGCATGTCAGGAAGGCTCTTGAGATTCAGCCACTGCAGGCTGTCAAGCACCCAGACCGTTGTCGTTTCAGCTTTGGACCCGGGCCTCCACTCTCCAGTTTGGGGAGGTATGTATATCCTGTCTCCATTGCAGGCAAGCACTTCGCCATGTGCATTAGCCAGGTTGACGCAAAGGCCCCAGCGCTTATGTCCCGAAAGGCCTTTGAGAGTTTGGGCGCAGTGCCTGATGTTCACAAGGGCCAGATTTACTTCCGGGCCATGGACTGTGTTGCAACTTTGTGGCTTTCCCCTTGTGGACACTTGGCCATTCGACTAGATGATTGGGGCGAGCAAGCCTTTCCTTGGCCCCCCAAGAGAACTCCTCAGGACCTACCTGATATCATCAGCGACGAAGCCTTTGAGTGCCCGAGCAACTTGCAAAACATTGTTGCCCCGGCAAAGCCTGTGCCTCATGCCCTCACCTCCTTCATGGCTGGTTCGTTGGCGGAGGCTACTGAGCAACCTGCTCAATTTCGTGGACCTGGTCAACCGGATGGTCCTGTACTACTCAGCCTCGTCGCTGCCGGGACGAAGCCTTCTGAAAAATCGCATTCTGAGCCTGTTTGCCCTGCCTGGCACGGCGAGTTCGATGCTGAGCTCCATGGCGGTGATTGCGGCCCAGGCGCAGAGCAAGAAGTACGTGAAGTCGCCGGATCAATGCCAACACCCCAGCGGAGTTCGCGGGCGGCGGCCTCAAGATCAAGATATGCGACCTCTGCGGCTCAAGATGGGTGACCATGCCGACGGGCAAGTTGGTACCGGCTACTGTCAAGGAGTCACCTTCGGCGAGAACACCTCTGAAGCTGACGGAGGCGACCTTGCAGGCTCTCCGGGGCAAGAAGTCGGGAAGCGCGCCAAGCGGCGGTCTTCGCAGTCCTCCGCCGCCTCCCGCGCACCGAGACTCCTCGCGACCCTCCTCAACCTCCTGGCAGGCATCTGCGCCATCCCGGGCAGCTCCACCAACGAGAACTACGTCCTTGAGTGCGCAGACCAAGCCAAAGCCGAAGCCCAAGAGCAGCCAGAAGACGAGGAGGATGGCCTGAACTCGATACCTCCACGGCTGCGGAGGCAATGGCTTGGGAGCGCGCGAGCCTCGGAAGCGTCCGACACCATGAGCGTGGACCAGGACCAAGGCACCGATGGAGGCATTTACGACGAGAAGTACAAGTGGGCGGAGTATGAGGAGCCGCTTTGGTGGACGACCGCCTCGAACGACAATCTGGAGGGCTCAGAGGGCACCTGTTCGACCCCAACGACAAGATCCCGGACTTGGACGACGCCTGGGACGAGGGGAACTAGATGGTGAGCTGGACAGGGCGCTGCGAGGTTCCGCGGACAGCCCCCTTACAGGTGAAGACCGCGGAGCTTTTCGAGTCAAGCCCGGGACTATGAAACGAATCCTCGGAAATGAAAGGATGATCCAACAGACTCGGGACCTCGAGACCAAGGTTTATCTGAGTCGTACGCAGCGTGCACGGCAACTCCGCCGCTACAAGACCGACTTGTTGGAAGTCTATGGCGGCAATGCCGGCATAACTCAACGTGCCTTACATCGAGGACTTCGGGCGCATCAACCTGTTGACGCCATCTACGGTTTGCGACTTGATGGACGTGCTGACCATGCAAGGCTGCGTAACCTGATTCTTGTCAACAAGCCGTTTCTGGTTGTGTACGAGATCGCTTGTACCGCCTGGAGCAATATCCAGTACCTGAACTGCTCTCCTGCTCAGCTACAAGCGCTCCGGCTTGAGCAAGATGAGGCCATAAAGGAGATGGTTAAGACCATCGTGGCGGCTGAAGAGGAGTACGGCGCTCACTTCCTCATTGAGAATCCCGCCTACGCTGACTTCTGGAGGCATCCCGCCATGCTCAAGCTCGCTGCCAGAAGCAACGTGGCATTTCGCGTGGGGCACATGTGTGCCTTCAACTTGCGAGACAAAGATGGCCTCTTGATGAAGAAGCCCACCGGCTGGATGTCCGATCTGACTGACATCCTGGATAGGGTTGGTCTTCCGTGCTCGTGCCAGACTCCTCACGGCCAAGTGCTCGGTGGCAACAGCAAGCGAGCTCAAGTCTACAGCCCAGAACTTTGCAAGGCCATTGTCCATGGGCTTGAGTCGTCCCTGCGAGATGCAGGGGACGAAAGATACAATGCCGCCACCGAGGAGGAGGACGCTTGGTTAGCCGAAGCCCTGACCGCGGAAGAGACCCAGGTGGAGACGTGGCAGCCTCCCGGCGAAGAGCGACTCCACTCCGTGTTCTTCCTCGACATCACCAGGCACGAGGATTCATGGCTTCCAATCTTGAAGGAGGCTGAGTCTCAGCTGGAGGGCAAGGTCAGATCCGACCGCGTCATGCCACCCAACACGCCCTTTTTTGAGCAGGTGAAGGCGTTGGTGCCATGGCGGCTCGTTCGAGTTCAAATTTGCCGCACCCCTATGCAACGCAGGCTGCCGGTCGACTTGATCCAGGAGGGCGTCAAACATCGTGGCGTGGCCTTGTGGTACAATGACGGATCCGTGGAGCTGGAGGCTGAGGCTATTAGCACCATTCTGTCTGCAGCTGCGGGTAGATTCTCTCGACCTGTTCGAGCTGCCGTCTTCTTCTATGGCGTTGCCCCCGACTCCAGCCTGAATCCGGAGGACAACAAGCAGCCTCAGGTTAGCAAGAAGCAAGCCGAGTCGAACGTGGAGGTCGAGGAACAGGACAAGCTGTCTAAATGGAGCACCTCGATGGCTGCTACAAGTGATCCGTCGGATACATACTAACTTGGGGCACCCTCCAACCGCTACGCTGGTGAGACATCTCACCGCGGCAGGTGCCTCGGAACAAGCTGTGCAGGCCGCACGAGCTCTCAGATGTGAGGTCTGTCGTCGGGTCCAACCTCCCAGACAACCACGACCGGCTAAGGTGTTTACGCCTCGCAGGTTTAACGACCGCCTGGGCATGGACATCCTCTTCTTGAAGGACATCACTGGAGCTACGCATGCCTACCTGTCTCAGGTGGACTATGCCACTTCCTACCATGCGCTGAGCTATTTGGTGGATCGGGCAGAGACCACGGTGCTCCAGGTTATCGTTAATGGTTGGATGACCTACTTCGGATGCCCCGACGAGGTGATAGCCGATGCTGAGGGCAGCTTTCGAGGCTTTAAGTGGGAGAACCTAGCGGCCCAGTCCTCTGTTAAGCTTCGCTTGGTGCCTGCAGATAGCCATTGGCAGCTGGGCAAAGTCGAGCGCCACGGCGGCACCATCAAGTACATGGGTAGTCGCCTGACAAGCCAGTTCGCGCCTTGTGGTGCACAAGAGCTATCCCTGATCGTAGCTCTTTGTGCTGCAGCCAAGAACTCTTTGATGCGGCGATCAGGCAGCAGCCCGGCGCAGTGGGTCTTCGGCAAGAACCCAAACCTCCCAGGGGCTTTACTCAGCTCAGGAGGTGACATCGAGTCGTGCCAACTTGCAGCCGACTCGCACAACTTGCAGCGCATTGAACAGATTCGTGTTGAAGCTATGACGGCCTTCCACCGCTTCGAATATGACTCTGCTCTACGTGCTGCGTTACTGCGCAAACCTCGTCCTTACCGAGGTCCCTTTGACATCGGCCAGCTCGTCGCCTACTACAGGAAGCGCAATGCAGCTGACGGTGAAGGCACCAACGAGGGCTACAGGCAGGGAACCGTTGTTGCCGTTGACGGCCAGTCTCTTTGGATCAGAAACACCAAAGGTCGACTCATTTGCGCCGCCAAGGAGCAAACCAGGCCTGTCGCTGGGGAGGAGGAGTGGTGGTCATTGCCCGCCTTGGAGCAAGACCTACTGAAAAATTCTGGCCAGGATTTGCGCGACAAGCACGCGCTTGCTTTTCGTCCTCCTCCCGACGCTTTACCTCGACCTGCTGGCGACGCTCGCGCCGCTGATCAGCTGGACGCCGCGCTACACAACCAAGGCCCTCCTCCTGCAGTGCATCCAGGTGTTCTACCTTTTCTGGACGCAGATGGACACCTTTGCCCGAAGATCGCATGGTGCCCATGAGCCCATGATTGCTCCTTTGATGCTGGTACCTCCAACTCCACGTTCCGCACCTGGTACTCCGAGACAGACCGCATCGCCTCAGGTCTCGCAGCAAGCCTTGGCACCAGCAACCCCGAGGCGCGCCAGGAGCCGGAGCAAGACGCCCTTACCGAGCAGGCAGAGGACCAGCGCACTTCCACCACTACCCGAAGGTGAACCAGCTCGGCCAACAACTTCCGAACCTCCTGCACCACTATCAAAACCTTCTGCACTACCACCAGGGCAGCCGACGACCGAGCCATTAGCGGCTCAGCCAACAACCTCCGAACCCTCATGCACCACTATCAGAACCTTCTGCACTACCACCAGGGCATGTTTTACGTGATGCAGGTCCGGAGCGTCAGACGTCAGGTCCACCTATGTCCCAGTCAACCTTGCCATGGGGGTCATTAGATTCAGGCGCGACAGCATCATTGCAGCGCCACTTGGAGCAGGCCATGGACGAGATGGACTCAACCAGTCGGGGTGTGAAACGTACAGCATCCCACAGTCCGGCTCCCGGAGGAAGTCGCAGAACGTCAGCAGCAGAACAATCCCAGGACTTGGAGGAGCCCAACGCTACAGTCACTGCGCTACTCAGCTATTGCCAAGACTGCGGTGAACAGCATCGCGTCGTTTTGGAGGATGGATTGAGCCATTGTGCTCGCTGTTCGAGCACAACAACGGTGACAAACCCTTCTCATGTCAAAGCATGGTTTGATGAGGTTTTGGAACAGGAAGCCGTTGACCAGTACTATTGTCGAGAAGACAGCTGGTCCCTTTACGACTTCTACTTCTTCATTTCTTACGCGTGACCATTTTGGCATGCGCCACTCTACAAGCGCTATGCCAAGCAGATCCCTTGAACGACTTCGAGTGCTACGACGACACGGACGAGAGATGGCAGGCCGTACTGGCTGGGATGGGAGCCCGACCGAGCTGCAGCCCATGTTTGAGAACAACGCCTACCTCGCAGCGGCGCACTTGTTTGGGGACCACTCCGAAACCACCTCTCCAATGCCTTCTTCTACCGATGGCAATCCCAGTCCAGAAACCCAGGCCACAGCTCACATGGTCAGGGTCAAGATGCTGCCGGCTTCCGAGAAGATGGCCATGCAGCTCCTGGAGAAGAAAGACTTCACGAAGGCATCCTGCCATCAACTGCTTGATTCGGTCGTCGTGAACAACGACAAGCGGGCCAGCCGCACTGAGACTGCCGGCACCCTGATGCTGGGTCTGTACTCGCATGGGAACCTTCATGGAGTCACCAAGGCCACCAAGGACCATAGGAACCTCGCCAAGTACCTGCTTGCGTACCTGCGACATCATGAAATAAAGGATTCCGCTTGCCCGGTGACTTCCCTGTCTGTTGGAAGGAATGTGCAGGCAGCTTGCCACCGGGATGTGCGCAACCTGAAGGGTTCGCTGAACTGGTTTGGCACTGTGGGTGATTTCACAGGTGGCTCTCTGTGGGTGCAATGTCAAGCCGACTACGTGCCACCAAATGCTGTCTGGCGAGAGGTGCAAGGACAACGCCTACCTGGATTCCTTGTGGACGGCAACCGCAACTACATTTCCTCCTTCAGCCCGGATTCCTGGCATTCCACGGAGCCCTTCAAAGGCGAGCGCTACTCACTGACGGCCTTCACGACCCGAAGTATCTCTTATGCTGAACCTCATGTTCGAAGGCGACTACGCCGCAGCGGCTTCCTCTCGTCGACTCCTTCGACGGCATCCTCCTCGTGGACATGTGACGACGACCTCGGTGACTTAGAGGCCGACTTTCGCAACCAAGAGCTCCACGAGGCCTATCCCACACGGGAATGGCGAACTCCGGGAGAAGGAGAAGTGGCCGTAATGGAGACCACGGACGAGGAAGCGGACGGACAGCCTCTGTCCCGTGTGGCCCGCGTGGCGAGAAAGAAGGAGCTTCCTTGGAGATCGATCCCCGAGGCGGACGTGCCCAAGTTTGTTCAAGCTGTAGTGGACGAGTGGTCCGAGTGGACGAAATGGTCCAGCTGTCGACCCGTACACTTGGACATGAGCAAGGTCAGCCCTGAACTGGTGTTGAAGAGTCGAGTGTGCTACCGCTGGAAAATCCGTGAGGACGGGTCTCTCAAGCCAAAAGCACGCATAGTCGTGGCCGGGTTCAAGGACCCGCATTTGCCACTCTTGACCAGAGACGCACCGGTCCTGAGCAGAGCCGGCCTGCAGTGTCTACTACAATGGGCAGCGAGTGTCGGGGGCACTTTGTACAATGCCGATTGTAAAAGCGCCTTCTTGCAAGGCGAGCCGGATAATGAACGTCCACAAAGCATTTTCATGAAGCCCCCGGAGGACGACATATCAAGGCAAGCCATTCCAGACTGGTCAGTGCCCACCTTGCTGACAAGCTCAGTGCTCCAGTATATGGCCAGGCGAACGCGCCAAGGCGTTGGTTTCTCCCCACGTGCAACGTACCCTTCGCTCCCTTGGATGGGTTCCTCACTCCTTGGACCCCTGCCTCTGGCTCTACAAACAGAACGGTGCAGTGCAGGCCGTGTTGGGACTTCACGTGGATGATGTCCTGATGAGCACTCTTCCCGGCCTGGGCTCTCTCCTGGATGGGGTCAAGGCTAGCTTTGAGTGGGGCAGCCCCTGGAAGGAGCGGGAGTGCACCTTCGTTTGGCGGCACCTCAGCCAGCAAGAAGATGGATCCATTACCGTGGACCAGACTCACTATGTTTCAGAGATTGCCACGACAAGAACCTCTTTGTCTCCTGAGACACCTTTGTCTGGACATCCTGAGCTGATTTCTGAGTTCAGATCAGGCATCGGTTCCCTTCAGTGGATGTCGGGCACTACGCGAGGCGACATCTCCGCAGACACCTCCTTGTTGCAGAAGTCCCCCAAGGAGCTCACGGTGGGCGACCTGCTTGAGGTCAATGCGGTTCTCAAGTATGTCCGGGCGACGAAGGACGCCTTCTTCCGCGTGATCCCGATCCCGTTCGACGAGCTGCTTGTGGTCTCGTACGGTGACTCTGGGTTTGCTAACGCGCCTGGAGGGAAATCTCAGGGCGGACTGGTCGTTGTGGCCACCGACCGATTGGCCTTCAAGGAAAAACGTCCAGCATCCCTGCTGGAATGGCGAAGCTATCGGCATCAACGAGTTCTTCGATCAACGCTTGCGGCTGAGGCGGCCTCACTCGATAAGGTGGAGGACTATGGCAACTTTGTGGCGGCCATGTTGTCGGAGCTGGCGGACGGCAAGCACGTGGCTTCGATGCAAGCTCCTGCCTTTGAGGTCGTTCCTGTGACCGATGCAAGGAGCCTCTGGGACGCGGTGCATCGCTTGTCAACTAACTTCCAGGAGAAGAGGGTTGAGATCAGCGTGGCGTCCCTGAGAGAACAGTGTCGTAACCTTCGGTGGGTGCCGACGGAGTACCAGCTGGCCGACGCGTTGACCAAGCGCGCCCGTCCTCTGAGAGATTTCTTCAGGAAGTGGATGGCATGGCCAGAGGTCACGCTGGTAGAGTCACGGAGTCCGGAGGACATATCTCTGCCGGGAGAAGCAAACGCCTCCTGGCGTCGAACGGGTCAAACAGGCCTTGTAAATAATGAGGAGTGAGAAACTCTTCTTGAGTTTGGCCATGTTTGACTTGAGCTGTAGCATGCGTTGCCGCTGATTACTCAGGGGATGGGCTAGCGCTAGTGAGTCAAAAGTGTGGAGCGTACATGTCCAGTGGTCCTACGGCATAGGTCCAGGCTCCGCTTGTTTGGCTGCGTTCGCAGCCTTGAGGTCTCTGAGTTTGACCCTTGAGTAGGTTCTTCAGACCAAAAGGAGAGACGAACTTTTTAGGATCGTGGGTGCGAAAGCGTTCAGCGTAAGGGTGGATGCCTAAAGAAAATGCGACCAGTGGACGATGAAGCCTTGGGTTTTTGTCCTGCTAGCACAGCGTCGCGCAGTCTATGCAAACTTTAGCTGCGTAGATCCTGGCGAGTGGGCACAACCAAAGTCTGTGCAGGCGACTTGATCGAGTAGCCGCGACCTGTAACCAATGTCTCACTTGTTCATAGCAATTGCTTTATGCACAAGCAGGACTATGGGCCGCTTTGGAAGGCAGCTGCATACGCGGCTGCTTTCCGCCCGGTCCTTTCCTGGAGTGAGCACAACGTGGCTGAAAAGGATCATGTGTCTTTGCATTTGCATGATCGTGTGGAATCTCTTCCCGTATTTTCAGTAGAACAGCAAGGGAATCTTGTCTAGGCAGTCGTCCGCCAGACATTTGCTCAAGGCTCATCAATGCTGGCAGTTCAATTGTGCGGCAATACGTCGTACAAGCTTGTTTGCTGCAACTATGCAGATACGATGTATTTAGAGAGTTTTGCCCATACAGTGCTGACAGCTTCCCCATGCCCGCGCCTTTGCGCCATGTAGCTCTGAATACTACCCTCAAGGCGCAGCATGGTGTGGGCTGCTTAAGAAGTTACAGGGAAGGCTTGGATGCCAGACCTCTTGGATTGTACAGTGTTTTCTGACTGATCGTCCCAGCGAGGCTCTCACGGACGCAAGAAGGGTTGCATTGTTGAACCACCTTCCAGGTGCACATCCACAGCGCCTTAGACTTGCCGCGTGGCGACACCAAGAGCAATGGATTGCGGGATGCTCGGAACCCCCTTAAACAGACCAACCGGGAGAAAACGCAGTTCTTCAAAACTTGGGTCCGCCTACACACAAAAAGCCCCAAATCAGGACCCAATCTCCAGAGATCTCAGATCATGAACCCGTCCGGCCCTCCTTGGCAAGGTCTGATCCTTATGTGGTGTGCTTCCAGCCACCAGACGAGGAGCCGGTCTTCCAAACCCAGGCGAGTGGTCAAGCCCGAGACTATGTGGATCTTTTGGGAACCTGTCGAGACCAGTGGCCGCCGTAATCTCTGCGTGTGCAGCCTTCATGAATGAATCCCCCAAGACAATACCTGATGGAGAGAACTAGTGAGTGA